CTTGCCACTCTACACCCCCTCCCGCTCTCTCTCTCTCTCTCTCTCTCTCTCTCTCTCTCTCTCTCTCTCTTCCTCCATCACTCTGTCCATCCTCAGGCTGTTATAGGTCATGGTCTATATGACCAGTCTTTCTCTTTTACATCGTGACCTTTCATTCGTCTCCCCTCTGAGACTTATCCCTGTCTCACTCCTCTGAAAATGAAACCAACCTGACAAAACAGCAGACGCGCACACACGCTGTGAGCTGACCTTCCTCTGTTTTATCTCACCGCAGATCAACTGCGTCACCTTCCCTGTGCCCACGTCTGCGCCGGAGCAGCAGCTTCTCAAGCCCAGTGAATGGAGCTACTGCGACTATTTCTGGGTGAGAGACAGAGAGAGAAAGAGGACAATCATGTCTGGTGGACCGCAGTGGATGAGTATTGATCCTATACTATAAGGACTACTATTGAGCCGGTCCCATCTAATACCATTAGAAGAACAGCAAACAACTCATTGTGAACTACTTTAACAAACGTATTTTACAGCACACAGGGTCAGCACAAATGTGCTAAATGTGAGTATAATATGGTTTAGAAAAGTAAATTAAACTTGGCTTAGAAACAGCATCATGCATGGTTTAAATAGCAATGTTAAAGCGACAGTCTCATCTGATGACTAACAGACACAAGTGATGTGAAGTAAAGTGACACAGACGTCTACTAAAGAAACTGAAATCATGAAGGGTTTTCACTGTTTTATGAAAAAGGAATTTGTCCACACATTGAAATTAAAGCTTCCAAAAAATTGTATTGCAACGTTTCAACCCGAGGAAGTTTTTTTTTGTTTTTTGGCACTTTATGGCAGTATGCGGACATATTTCTTTTTTTTTTTTTTTGACATTTTTATGACAGATGGCATTTCACAGTAAGGCTATGAATCATTTATTTAATCAGATTTTGTCTTTCTTTTTTTCCTTTTTTTTTGTATATAATATATATTATATATAAACAAGATTTAATTATATTAGATTATATTTGAGTAATATAGTCAGTTTTTTTATTTAATTTGAAGGATAAACCCAGCTAAATTTGGTTTTATTTATTGTTTGTTTATTTCTTGTAGTTTATTAATGAAGTTTTATTTTATTTTATTTTACATTGTGACAAACATGATGCTGTTAACATGAGCAAAACTAGCATCACTATATTAGTGTTTATACTTATGAGCTTGAGGTGTCGAGGAGAGATGTGCTTGTGTTTTCAAAGTTATCAGACTTTTAAGTGTCGAGCGATAAAACTGGACAAAACAATCTCTCAAACTTACAATGATGTGGGAATCTTAGTCATATCTAGAGACCAGAATATCATAGATACTTGACCTGGGCTAATAAACAACCTAGCAGCCACTCAGCAACACTACGACTATTTAAGATTTATGACCGGTATTTTTCCTCAAATCATCACCACTGACAGGTTTAAGAAAAATGTAATTCGAGCCCCATGCACAGACAGATGAGACAAAGAAAATGAAAATGAGATCCAGAAGGACATTTACACTTCATCTGAAGCAGTCACTGTGCATTTGCTAGCAGATTATAGCATTACATCACTTGCTCATCAATGCATCCTCTGCAGTGAATGGGTGCCGTCAGAATGAGAGTCCAAACAAGGATTTGTTTCTTACAAACATGCAGCTTTTCATTGCTTGTGGATTATTGTGATGTGTTGATAAGTTGTTTGGACTCTCATTCTGACGGCACCCATTCACTGCAGAGGATCCATTGATGAGCAAGTAATGTAATGATACATTTCTCCAAATCTGTTCTGATGAAGAAACAAACTCATCTACATCTTTGATGGCCTGAGGGTGAGAACATTTTCAGCAAATTTTCAGTTTTGGGATTTCTAATAACCCTGGACAGAGATTGAAATTACATGTAGTCATATGCATATACACAGGCAAATGATAACAGGAGTATTTTGTCGGAAAGATTCTTCCTGCCTGTTTCTCAAGCCGAGCGTGTGAAGAGGTTATGACACTTCTGTCATGTGTGGGATGGCACGTCAGCGGCCGTCACAACAGCAGACTCTTACACCTCCACACACACACACACACAGTGAAAGAAAAGCATATTTCATGAACATACTGCGCACACAGACTGCATCAAGAGCCCTCACATTACATTAGTCATACCCTCAACAACCTATACACACCCTTCACTGAAACACACACTCAAAGTTACACCCGCAAGGGTGTACACCCCCTCCCACATACTCTGATTCATGCAAACCCACGCTGTGACTCACACACACATGTGGCCGCTCTCACACACATCTGATCATGCTCACGTGTTGTTGACATACCGCTGATGAAGTGGTAGAATACATGACTCTGCGTGTGTGTAATGTTGCTCTGTCCTCTGCAGGCCGATAAGAGGGACCCTCAGGGGGCCACAGTGTCAGGGTTTGAGGTGCTGCTGCAGAAACAGCTGAAGGGGAAGCAGATGCAGAAAGAGATGGCAGAGTTCATCAGAGAAAGGTGGGCAAGCCTCTCTCTCAAACTGACATCATTCTTACATAACACCTCACTCCCTAATGCCTTTTTGAGTGTTATGTTTTATTTTGCACACTGAAAACCCCAACATTTTCAAGCTCCAGAAAGTTAATAAAATCGTAAAAATATTCCATAGGAATCAAGCTGTGTAATTCAAGTCTCCTGGAGAGATACAATCACTTTATATGGTGAACAGATTTAATTTAAGCTTTTATTCACATAAAAATTGATCAGTGCACATACACAGAGCACATCAAATATGGTAAACGTAAGCTCAAATCTGCTTGTGTGATGCATAAGAATCAATGTTCTCACATGTCACACATGCACATTTGAGCTTATGTTTGATGTGCTTTATTGGTGCATTCAAGTCATGTCAGAAATATCGTATTTACAAGTTGAATGCAAATGAACGTCTCCACAAAGTTATAATTATGAGTGGAAAACTCATAATTACCAGTGGGTAATTTCCCAAGCTTGGGGTGTGTCATTGGGAAAACATGTTAAATGCAAGCGATGCAGCATCTGTATTAATGGTAAATTTGTTGAAATGAATGGACTGTTTTTTCATTTACAATAAAACTATCCAAGCTGTGTGTACAAAATACCATAGTATTATACCCTTCAAAAATTGATTACAAAATCTTGCAGAATTTTTTTTGTACAAATGGTACATTGTCATCTTGTATGGACTGACATTTGAATGCCTCTGACATTGCAATTACAACTTCCCAACTCGTTCAATGTTTACATGTTATTAGTGTACTTTTTCTTACTTCAAGAATTTTGGTTCAACTTTATGCCAGAAACAAAAGACATTTATACTAACAACAAGAAAAGCAAAATTGTTTTGTCAATGGTTTAGGAAAACATCATTTCAAATGTTCTAAAAACAAGCCTTAGGGCCAGATTTACTAACAGCTTGCACCAGTGCAAACTGTCATTTGACATTAAAATAGTACTGTCAGAATTTACTAAAGATGCGCAGTGAAGAATTAGTGCTGGAAAGGCATGGACACAGTTATTTTTGCGCCTGACCTTATTGACTATGCCTTTATAGGCGTTTCCCTTTCAGACGCAAAACTTATGGGAAGAGAGTATTAACATGAATCCCGCAACAAGATTTAGTAATGTTTGCGCTCGTCAAATTACTGATATTTGCGCCATTATTTAATGCCCCAAAAAAGCATGTCTTAAAGAAGGCGGTAATATGCACTGCTCTTGGTAGATTGCACTGGTCATTGTGGAAATGATCTGGCTTTGTCTGTGTTTTTTAATGTGCGCATTGTCAGTAATTCACACGCAGAATTTTCCCCTCTCATCTGCGCTTTTATGGAATTGCGCTCTAGTGCTAATTTGCATTGTTTAGTAAATCTGGCCCTTAATGTGTTATGCAGTTTTGCTGCTTATGTAAAATTATCTTGTTTTAAGGAAGTTAAGCTATTTTACTTTTTTCGCATATTAAGGCAAGCATTTGTGAAGGATTCTCACATTGCCTCGGTGTCATTATCAAACCAAACTCAAAAGGTTTGATCAAACCAATGTTACGGCTTCCATCTGAAAGGATAGGAATGGATCACAGCAATCACAAGAACAGATAGCCACTACAAAATGTACAGTGATAGTATCAGATGCTAATACCATGATACTTATATAACAGAGTGATGAAGGATAGCTATATTCAAAGACACAGGGTATTACCATAATACAAATCCGAAGCACTGTAATATTGGCATGGTACACATGGAGTTCTGCCAGTAGTAGGCTACTATATGAGGTTATGTCACATTAAATCTTTTCTTGATGAATGCTTGATGTTTCAGGATAAAAATCGAAGAGGAATATGCCAAGAACCTTTCCAAACTCTCCATGTTCCCAATGGCAGCGCAAGAGGAAGGGTATGTTACAAAAATGATTTTTAAGTAATATTGTATACTGGACACTTGTTAGCTGCATTTCCTTCACTATTTTTAACTCACCGATGTGGGGAAAAAAATGGAATTCAAATATTTTTGAGCATTGAGCTATATACAGATCATGTTGAGAAGATGTTAATGTACTAAAATGTTGACTGGTGGTTTAATAGATGAACACATTATTAAAAAGGCCTTACACATGCTTAATTGTATTGAATATGCACTGTCGTTGTATACTGCAAATCTTAAAAGTAGCCTATATACAGTATTTAAAAAAATATGTACTTTTAGATAATATGTTATTAATTAAATAAAAGGCCACTTTAGTGAACTTAAAAAGAGACACTTTCATGACACTTTTAAAAAGTAGACTGTGTAATAATGTTAAAGGAAATGTAAAACAGTAGCTTTAATCATCTTTCCTGGGCTCTGGTTTGATTTAGGACTCTTGGAGAAGCTTGGGCCCAACTGAAGAAGAGTCTAGCTGATGAAGCCGAGGTCCATCTCAAGTTCTCCTCAAAGGTGGGCAATTCTCAGTTCTCTGTTGTGACATTTCTCAATCGAGGTAATATAAGATCCAGCTGAGAAATTGGCAGTTCAAGCTCACGCATTGCCAGGGAAGATGAAGTATCTGGCCTTTATTTCATTTCTGTGCTGTACTGAATAGCTTCCCCTCAGAGATGTTATTAGCCACCTGTATGTAATGAGCTACACAGCTTTCTTCAGTCTGCTGCGATTTGTCTATTTCCACCGCTGTGCTTCCCGTGTTCACACTAGCGTGCTCCATTTAGTGCCAGTGTGGGTGATTAATTGCAGAAAGATGGAGGTGATTCTGCAGTCTTATTCCCTCAGATCACATATGATTTACGGAGACAGCAAAACAAAAAAGCCTTTCTTTTAAAGAACATCATCATCATTACTGAAGCAAAAACTCGATCCAAATACAAAAAACCCACACACAAGTTCATTTCAGATGCTGTTCAGTGTTCATGCCCAGGTTTGCCATGCAGCTGTGTAACTGATGCAGAGGATTTTGTCTCCAGCTCCAGAGTGAAGTCGAGAAGCCTTTACTGACCTTCAGAGGAGACAACTTTAAAAAAGACATGAAGAAATACGACCACCACATCGCTGACCTGAGGAAGCAGCTGGTCAGCCGTTATGCTGCTGTGGAGAAGGTACAAAGTGCAGGAATGTTTTGTATAAACCCTTGTGAAAAATAAGTGCTCTTCATTGTATTGAATGTGCACTTTTAGTGTACTTCAAATCTTAAAAGTATATTAAAGGGGTCATATGACGTTGCTAAAAATAACATTATTTGGTGTAATGCAATGTGTTTATGCGGTTTAAGGTTCAAAAAACACATTATTTTCCACATACTGTACATTATTGTTGCTCCTTAATGCACCACCTTTCTGAAACACGTCGATTTTTACAAAGCTCATCGGTCTGAAAGCGAGGTGTGCTCTGATTGGCCAGCTATCCAGTGTGTTGTGATTGGCCGAATTCCTCAAGCATGTGACGGAAATGTTACACCACTTAACATACCGTGATGCCGTGTCCTTGCACGACAAGACAAAAACAATAAAACCCATTACAAACGAGGCTTTTGTTGCATCCAGTGGGCACATAATTACTGATTATAATGACTTATACTGTCTTTTTACGCGTTGAGTTGCGTATCGCGCTGCGTAAACATAAAACCATGTCTGCGTTTGTGATCAACAATACAGCGAGAATAAAAGTTACGCCTTCTTTCTTTGCGTGAACATTTGGG